GAGAAAGATACATCATCAGAGACCAAGAAGAGACGGCATTCCACCGATCAGGACGAAGTTGAAGAAGAGACGATGGAACCCTCCGGGGAGAGATCCGTCAGGCCAAAAAATATCACCATCCAGAGAACCTAGATGAGTTCATTCAAGAACTCAAAGGAACCTATCTCGACACAGATATGAACAAGAAGGACGCAGAGGAAGAGCTCGAGGAGACCAAGGCAACCCTCTCCCGATTCATGACCAAGTTCAACAAGAATCCAAGAAAAGCTCATCCCAACTTGACAGAGTGCGAGAGAGCCTCATTGGCACATGTCGATCCCGACGTCAATCTTGGAGAAGAAGAATTCTACTTCTCTCATCAAGGAGAATGTCCCACCATTGAGGAGTACAAGCAAGCTCAACCAGAATCCGGATATCCGATCAAGCTTCCGCTTGGATTGAAGAAGCTCAGGTCCCATGATGACCAAGAACTCATCCGAGCCTATGCTGATATCCTAGGATCGCTGATGCAGCCAACCGACCGTTCCTGTGGACTATCTCAAGATGCATGAGTTCACCTCATCCCTAGCGATCAACATGCTTACCCTGAACCATGGAAACCTCACAAGGAATCCAACGCTGGATGGCAGGGAGGTGTACAACATGCCGATGAAGGATCGACCGATTGTGAAGATGATGATGCAAAGCAGTGCACACATCCTATGCCTTAATGAGGCAGACGCATTCTTCAGTCCTAATGATGAGAAATCCAGGGAGCTCATCAAGACGTTCATCCGATACGGTTACAAGGGCATCGTGATCAAGCAATGGTCATCCAAACCGATCGCATGCTTTGTCCGTGGCGGACCCTCTGCAAGAGTGGAACTGTTGGCAAGATACATCTCCACCAAGAGTCAGAATTGGGGAACTACATTCGGAATGTTCAGATGCTTTTCGGAACCGAAGGAAATTGCGCTGATCCTGAATATGACACACCGACCTCCGATTGCTTGGCAACTACGGGAACATCCATGTTTGCAGAGTCCAAGAAGTATATTGGACCGAGATTGCCAGCACGCACCATTGTCCAAGGATATGGTCGAAACAAGGAGATCGTCGTTCTCCACATCGAGCAGAGTGAGGAATTTCGTGGCATGATCCCGAAATCATCCGACAAGTCACACCACGAGTTTGACGACCGCCACATCACGAGGGCAGATCTCCCATTCGCTACCATTGGAGTTTTCCACATCCATCCTTCAATCAGCCATGGAGCAGTACGGGAAGATCTTCAGAATGAAATCATGCCGCTCGTGACCTTGTACCGATGTGATGCAATCACCGCAGACGCCAACAAGGCAGCGAACACCTACAGCAAACTCCAGCACGTCTACAATCCGGCCAACGGTCTCGTGAACATCCTCATGAGGACATATCAGAGACTGTGGAACAACACGAAGAATTTGCCACTCGTGGACAGAATGGAGTATGCAATGGAGACTTCGTGCACCCTGAAATCCATTGTCCGTCATCACCTGTACATGAAGTGTGGATCAGGATATGATCGAACTTTCCCAGATGTGATGATGACGTTTGTATTTGGATGGGGCAAAACAAACATCCAGCAAGCTTTCCGAAAGGAAGAGATGAACGGCATTGACGATGAACAACTGGAACTCATGCGGAACGATCCAACCAAGGCCATATTCGATTATCAGGTCTCATCCGCAGAGCGCTACAAGCACGTGAACAATGACATGTTCATGAATGGCTCGCAGGACTCCGACTCGCACAGTCCCCTCATGGTTTACATCCGCAGCAAGTCCGCAACCAAGCAACGCAGCTCTGGGAGATACCAGGAGTACATGAAGAAAAACAATCATCCTGGGCCCCGCAAGAGTACAAGGACTACAACAAGCAGTGGGGGCATCAGAACAGTGGAAGGACTATAGCGCCTCGACCTGGAATGAGTATGGAGACTATGGCAGTCAATCCGACAGCAGTCGCCGATGGTATCGTCGATCAGACTGACCATGAAGATTCACACGTTCAGCACCACGAACTCAATTCAGATGATTGATCCTCGCCGTCTACAAGACTATACCATGAGTGAGGAATCAATAGTTTCACAATCGTCCTGCGTGTACATAGCGTTGTACATCATTTTTGATACGACTAGGTATCCAGAAAGAAGCAGTACATAGTGTTTCCCATTTCGTAAGTCAAGACATTTCATCCGAGCAGAAAAGAGGATGAATCCGACAATTTTAACATACATGGCTACGGCATACAGCATGGCTACGGTGCCGGAGATCAAAAGAAATTTGTGTCTGTTTTGTGTTCTGTTTTCAAACCATTGATCTCCCGCAACATTTGGCTCAAGGGCCCCTTTTGCAGAATCACGATCATCCGAGCGTGTAGACAAAAGAGCCATTGCAGGCCGCTTACCGGATTATCTCCAAGACAATCCACCAGGGACGATCCATCCTCCAAACATCCGTTATTGGCATATTGGACTCTCTCCGGAATAGATCCACGGACCAACAACAATAGACCTCTACTACCACAGGGTACCAGTTCCCTCCGGGGATAGGCACCTGGGGCAGTGGGCCTCACCCCACCCCCCCCGCTGGCTTTTTGGACATATACATCACTTTAATTGAATCCCCCGCTATCTGTTTGGACATATACATACTTCCTGCACCTGGTCCTCATGGGGGGGCTGCCGCCCCCCCCAGCCCCTACATTCTTCCAGGGTCCAATCATCTGCACCTAATCATCTTCTTTGCGTCTCATGGTGCCACCCCCCCAACCCCCCCGCCGGCTTTTTGCACCTGTACATTGTTCCTGCACCTAATCATCTGCCTTGAATCTCATGGGGGAGGCTCACCTAATCGTCTTCTTTGAATCTCATCGGGTTCCTCCAGGGTCTAATCATCTGCACCTAAACATCTTCTTTGCGTCCCCGCCGGCTTTTTGGACATTTACATCGTTCCTGCACGTAATCATCTTCTCTTTGGATGTCTTCTTTGCGTCTCATGGGGCCCCCCCCCCAACCCCCCCGCCGGCTTTTTGGACCTGTACATTGTTCCTGCACCTAATCATCTGCTTTGAATCTCATGGGGGGGGCTGCCGCCCCCCCAACCCCCCCGCTGGCTTTTTGGACATATACATTCACTTTCTTTGAATCCCCCGCTATCTGTTTGGACATATACATACTTCCTGCACCTAATCATCTTCTTTGAATCTCATGGGGGGGGCTGCCGCCCCCCCCAACCCCCCCGCTGGCTTTTTGGACATTTATATTCTTCCAGGGTCTAATCATCTGCACCTAATCATCTTCTTTGCGGGGCTGCCGCCCCTCCCGAACCTCCCCGCCGGCTTTTTGCACCTGTACATTGTTCCTGCACCTAATCATATGCCTTGAATCTCATGGGGGAGGCTCACCTAATCGTCTTCTTTGACTCTTTTCTCCAGGGTCGAATCATCTGCACCTAATCATCTTCTTTGCGTCTCATGGGGGGGGCTGCCGCCACCCCCAACCACCCCGCCGGCTTTTTGAACATCTACATCGTTTCTGCACGTAATCATCTTCTTTGAATCTCATGGGAGGGGCTGCCGCCACCCCCCAACCCCCCCGCTGGCTTTTTGGACATTTACATCGTTCCTGCACGTAATCATCTTCTTTGAATCTCATGGGGGTGGCTGCTGAAAAAGTTAATCATTTACAGGCATATAGCCCATGTCACCCCCAAAAAGTTGAAAAGTTGTGTGTTTTGAGAGGTAAGGAAGTCACATATGAGCCAAGCTTTCAGCTGGGTTTGCAAGGGACACCTCCGAGCACCAAGAAACTGATAGCTCTCATGTCCCTAGGCTCCATACCCAGAGAGTCCCAACTCTTTTCGGCTTCTATTTTAATCGGGGGGGGCTTGGAACCCTCCCCCCTAAAAAAATGGGGCGAGAAAGGGCACCAATTGCTGGGGGACTCGTCGGCCCCTCGTAAAAGGCCCAAAAAAAATACGGAGGCCGGGTCCCGGCTCCTTGGCTCCAAAAGGCCCCAGGTCCAGTAGCGATGAGTTCCTTTTTAGAACACCAGCCAAGGGGGAAACGGCCCACCTGGTTTTGAAAAAACAACTTATAAACCTAAGAAAATGGAGGCCAGGCAGGCGCCAGGCAGCTCTCCTCCAGCAACGGCTTCAGCTCGGCTCCCGCGCCCGCGTCCGCCAAAGCGAGCTCCCCTTTGAAGAACTCCGCCTCGCCGTCCTCGTCGAGGCCCTCCACCAAGATCATGGGATCCTCGAAGCTCGAAACGAAGTCGAAGCCGGGCGAGGCCCAGGTGTGCGCTTTGGCGCTTTGGAATTCACCCTAGGTCCTCCAGGTGAGAGGGTAGAATAAGGGTCCAGTTTTTGTGCTGTAGTCGATTTTAGTAGGGGGGGGTCCTCCCCAAAAAAAGGGTGAGAAAGGGCACCTAGCTGGGGGACCTAGTCACCATCCAAGGCTTTTTTGGAGAAGGTGCTTTCCCTGATTTGGAATCTCGTTTAAAGCAAGGTTTGCGGGTTGCAACTTAAAAACATATTTCTGGTGATAGATTCCCTTGAAAACCAACTGGGCAAAATAAAATAAAAAATAACAAATGTTCATTTCAGCAAATGGAAGCCACCCAAGTGGTCTTGCCAAAGACCTTAAAGCCTTGAAGGCCAAAAGGCAAAGGCTTGCATCTATGGACCAAACCGACCCTGGGATTGGAAAGGGAGCAAATCACCTTTCAACATGAGGGTCTTCTCCGGAAGCTAGCGAGGTGTTCAATTCATTCCGTTTCCCCGAGCCCATTCGCCCGTTCCGACGCCTCCTGGGCCTCGCCGATCATCGAGGACACCTGAACCCAAGCGAAGATTAAGGTGGAGGCACACCCAGCCCCAAGAGGTGCTTGTATGCTAGGTCCAGGTGAGCGGCTAGAATAAGGGTACCCCTGTTTTTCAGTAGTCTATTTTCGTAGGGGGGGTTCCTCCCCCCAAAAAAGGAGTGAGAAAGGGCGGACCAGGTGTGTGTCTCAAAAAAAAACACAACAATTTACCGGGTTTTTCAATTCGGCCTCCCAGAGAAAGGGTACCAACTCAACAAATGGTGTCCTAATTTGGCTTCCTTTGAAAACCCCCAAAAAGGGTGCCCCCACAAAGAAAACAGCCAGCTGTTCGCACCTCACCATAGTTTTGGTATTGGTGGTTTGGACCACCAATCCAGGGGCACCTCATTTACTGCTTCCCCCCTGCCAACTGGTGCACAAAAGCCGACACTACCGAGCGGGGAAACAACTGATAAACATAGATCTGCGTCCTTCCAATTGGTGGTTTGAAGTGGCTTTCTTTTGGTGGATAAGGGGGGTTTCCCATTTACCCTCCACAAGAGCCAGGGCTTCAAATCCCCAAACCACAAATCCAAACCGCCAACCAAAGGTTACCTCAACAAAGAGGAAAATAATGCTCCTAGATCTGCCGAACCTGTGGCCAAAGCGAAAAAGGAGACATGTCTTTGAATTGGACACAACTTGGCTTGAGTTCGGTCCCGGCAAGTTTACCTCCGCAAATTGACATGAAACTCCAAGAAGGATATCTGCAGGTTCTTGCAAGGGGCAAGGGGCCAACAAAAAGGGAACGCCAGTAAGCACGAGATGCTTAAACACCGGATGCATCTAAAAGCACACGTTGCTTGCCCAACCCTTTCAAAACACGTGTTTTCGACCAACCCCCCCCGCCCTCTCCCCCCCTAAAAAAAACAGAAATAAAATCAAATCGCACATGTCCCCCAGCCCCCCAAATCCCCCCCCCCAAACAAAACATCAAGTACATCATTTCGGCCATGCCTCCCGCTCCCAGACACCCGAAAACTTGACTGCACTGCCCCTCCCCGCGCCGCGCCAGCAGCAGGGACTTGGGCGGCACCCACAGCGCCAGCCGCGCCGCCGCCGCCGCCTGGGAGTCAGCGTCGGCCGTGTCGGCCGTCAGCCGCAGCACGGCGTAGCGCTCGAGTTGAAGGCCCTCGGAGATGGCGAGCACCGCCTGCGGAGAGTCCCTAGGTCCTCCAGATTTGGAGGTTGGAGTCTCCATGACCCTTTCAAAATGGGGTCATGACCCCTATTTTTTGGGGTCATGACCCTCGTTTTAAAGGGTCATGGAGACTCCAGGTTAGAAGAAGTTGGTACCCAACTTTTTCCTGTTTCGTTTATTTTAGTAGGGGAGCCCTCCCAACCAACAAAGGGGTGAGAAAGGGCACTACTGGGGCACCTAGGAGTCCGCAACTGAGGCGTGCCATGGGGATGTTGGGATCTTTTTTTTGGGGCATCTGGACCCTCAAACTGCCCTGCACCAAACAAACGAGGTTTGGGCTAGCTGGACCCTCGTAGTTACCCTGAAAAAACGGGAGTCACCCCATAATTTTTGGGGCAATGCCCCTTATTTCGAGGCTCCAGGCAGTCAACAAATGGAACCCTGATGTGTTTTGTGTTGACGAAGGAGTGGTTGTATATCCCAACCGCTTGGGGCTGGTGGGGTGGTTTGGTGTGATGTGTGGGGTTTGCGCCTTTCCCCAAGGGCAGGTTGCTGGGGTTCTCAAGATTAGGTGAGTCTCCTTGAACCATTTACAGTTGGTAAGCTTTATGTCATGGACCCAGGGTTGCTTAGGTGGTTGCCAACACCCCCCCCCCCCCGACTGGGAAGACGTAATTACTGGACAGGTTCAAAGAAACGACGTGCTTTTGGGTGATCGCCGACGTGTCAAGCCGGTGAGTTGATGGCTCGCCTTCCGGGAACCAACTCTACAAACCGACGGGAAAGCCCAACGCCTGCGCTTGAACGGATCGACCGGGGACCGGCGACTGAGGGACACCGAGTTGATTTCACCCAGAGGGGACCCCGAAATTCGGCGCAGCCTCAATCTAGGGGGGTTGATGCATCAAAAATAAACAGCATCCCTATTTGCCATATGCTCAAGCCATCCGAATCACCAAAGGGATTACCTGAAACTGGACCTTGAACACCCTGCGCGCCAAGGGACTACAAAAACAGACAACATAAACCAGCCTCGTCTTTTTGGTGGAAGTTCAGGGGCAATCACCCCCAAAATCTGCCAGCTATGTACCCTTCCGGAACTCTGCCTGAAAGCTGGCCCACAGCGTATCTGGCAAACCCAAAAAATCAACCCAAAATCGATAAACCCCTAATCCGTTCCCCCTAATGCTAAACGCCCCCCCCCCCCTATACTAAACGGGTCCCCCGGGGAAAACCGGTTTTAGTATTAGGGGGTCCCCGGTTCGTTTTCGGAAAGCCTTGGGAGACAAATAATGAGTCGAGTGTTATTTTTGTGTGGAGAGAGAAAGAGAGAGAGAGAGAGAGGGAAGGAGACAGCCATGTTAATGTGGTTTGAAGGATTGAAGGAGTAAAATAAGGGTCACCTAATTGGGGTGGATTTGGGTACGGGCAGGATAATTCCTACTTTAGAATTGGTTTACTATTGGCTATTCTAAAAGTAGTATTTCCGGATTTGGGATTCTCCAAAACCGGTTTTAGTATTAGTTAGGGGACTGTTTGGCATTAGGAAGAACCGATTATTCATTAATATGACCGGGCGTGGGTGGGTGTCCAACTGGTTTTGGTGTGGGATCATCACTTCTGGAAGGGTTTTCCTGCGCCTTTTTTTCACAAGGGGTTTATGAACCTCCGATAAACCCCTATTCACTAATATGGCGGGCGGGGGGTCTCCAACTGGTTTTAGTGCGGGTGCAACCTGGGTTGAACATTGGCTTTCAGCTGGGAAAAAGCTAAGGTAGGCATCGGAGAAACTGAGAAACCTTCGAAGCTGAAAACGGGCCCCCGCCTGAGACACGCTGGCCACACCGTCCTGCCAATCGCTGCGAAGCTTCTTGGATGCCCAGCTTGGACCCACTGAGAAAGGTGATCACCATAGGCGTCCTTTTCGGGGAAATAGATGGGTTTCCCCGGTAGATGATTCAATCACCAGGTTTCCCTATCTTTCTGCCAAAACAACCAAAAAGGACACCTATGGTGATCTCCGTTTGGGGCATTTGGGCGTGGCAAAATTAAACGATCGGAGGGGCAAACCGCGCGTTTGGTCCATGCTTCCACTTACCAGGGCAAGCCATTTTAGCAACGGTTTTTTGAGCCACAGCCATTTGGGGCGACTCGAGAAATGGTTTCCAAAGAAAAAACGGAACGGGAAAATACGGTCGATTCGCCTTGTCCATGACCTTCGCTTTGGAAGACTCGTCATGAGACAACTCCCGTCTTCCGTGGGATCTTTGATTCACTGGCTTGTGATCCGTGGGTGAGTGGGTTAAATAGTCATAGAGTTCCTGCTTTGCGATCCGTCGCTTGAACCCAGTCCCTTATCTATCTGGCTCGCAGGGAATCATTCGGAATGACCCCCTCGACCATCCAACTGGTGGCCTAGGGGTTGATTCCCCATTCTTTTCAAGCATCGTTCCTTTCGAAAACCGATCGCTGTTTCTCCATGGTTTTAGTGGTTTTCTAGAAAAAATCGGATTCCTGGAAAGAATGGGGAAGCTACCATACCCAGAGACTCCTGAGCCTTTGAATGGAAGACCCGGCCCCTCCACTAGACACCCTGGAGGTGGTTGGGGGTCTCAGAACCAGGTTGTTTGAAGGCCCTAAATCAACCGGGAGCCCCTGGGTCAGAAAAACGGGAAACTCCACCCCCTGCCACCGATCACCAGCACGTGGCCGGTAACCCGATCGATCCTCGCCTCCGGCACGGTGGTGGACACCCGCAGCCAGTCCGGCGGCGGGAAGCTGGAGGCCTGAAGGAATCTGGCAGTCTGAAATTCGAAGCTGCGCGCCATCCATTCTGAGAGACCTTCAAAACTGAGGATACCGAAAAGGAAAACAAAAAAACAAAACATCTGGTGCACAATGTTGCCCCTGAGGGACCCAGAAATAAACTTACCTCTGAAAAACACAACTTTTCTCAACTTTTTGGGTAACATGGGCTATATGTCTGTAAAAGATTAACTTCCCCAGGCCTTGGAGTTTTGAGGGGGGAGTAAAAGGTGATCACCGAAAATGGGGCCACTAAAAATGGAAACCAAAACTGGAAAACCGAAAGGTTAAAAGGTCGAATCGCTTTGGGCAACTGAGAGAGACATTCAAGACTGAGAATACCGGACCAAAAAAAAACACCCGCCATCTGGTGCAGGATGTGTCCACAGCTTGGTTCAAGGGGAAACCTTGAAAGGAGAACACCGCCTTTGAAAGGAGCGGAACTCATCCAAGGGGCAGCCGTGGCAGGGCCATTAGCCTCAAGCGTTGGACAGATCTCCCGTTCGCAAGGGGAAAGGCTGTTGCTTGTTGGCTGTTGCTTGTTGTCTATTGCTTGTTTCCTGAGTTGGTTGGTTGTTGTTTGTTGCTTGTTGCTTGGTGTTTGCTGAGTCTTGCTTCTTGTGTGTGTGCGGTTTGCTGGTTGTTGCGTGTTGCGTGTTGCTCGTCGTTTGTTGCTTGCTGCTTGTTGCTTGTTGGTTGTTGGTTGTTGCTTGATCCTTGGTGGTTGGTGCTTGTTGGCCCAGTCCTTAACGGCTTTTTTTTCCAACCTCCAGCTAATTAAGGGGAGAACCATCAAAGGACAACCAACCAGCTACACCCAACCTGGATGTTCAATGGTTTTCATGGACTTAGGAAACCAACCTGGACATACTGGAAAACCATAATATGTTGCTGTTGCGTGTTGCTTGTTTTTGTGAGTGTGTTGCGTGTTGCTTGGGTGGTTGCTGTTTGGTGTCTGCTACTTGTTGCTGAGTACTTCTTGATCCTTGTGTGAAGTAGACCCTTATTCTTCCTGGTGCTCAGCAGGGAATGAGAATTGGAATGCCTTTAATTCCTCTTTTCGGGAATCCCAAAACGGTTCATTCCCTGATTCCCTATCGCACCAGCACGTTTTGAAAGACAACCAGCCGGCAACCCTCCCTGTCTTAAATAAAGAGACAGAACCACAAAACCATAGTCAAAACCACAAGAGATAATGATGTTCCTGGACTTACGAAACCAAACTGGACTAGGCCTAAACTGGAAGTTGCTCCTTTTCTGCATTCAGGGGAACAGATAAAACCATCAAACCATCAAACCATAGAGATAAAACCATAAGAGATACAGTATAACCATGTATAACCCTTTTCCTTGGGTGTTCAGGGGAAAGCCTTCACAGGCCAACCTCACCTGTTCGGGGCCCCAAACAAAAAATATCCGCCAGGCCTGCGCTTCCTCCACTGCGGTGTTGATCGAGGCCGGCGAAAGCACCTGACGACCCAAGTTACGCCACCCACGGAGCCCAACAAGGGAAGGGAGAACAGACCTGGGCTGTCCGTTTTGAGATGCCCAGCTAAACCTCACTTGCCCAAAGGACCCAGAAATAAAAGGTGATCACCGAAAATGGGGCCACTAAAAATGGAAACCAAAACTGGAAAACCCAAAGGTCAGATCCGGTCGATTCGCTTTGGGCAACTGAGAGTGACGATGGTGGCCCCTTAGCTCCCCATTCAAAAGCAAGCTTGGATACCCCCAGCTCCTTGGCTCCCTTCCAACCAAGGGAACGTACCGCATTTCGCCGGTGGCCAGTGTTTGGTGGTTGGATGTAGTTGGCTTTTCGCGGGTTTAGTGACAACTGGCAGTCAACCCCAAAATGCGGAGAAAAACCCAAAGGGCATGGCTTGGAACCTCCAAGATACCTGGGTTTACTTGCAATATCTGGAGCCTCCTTCTGACCCTTATACACTTTGGTCATTGCCAGAAAAAGGGTCATGGCCCTCACACAATTCGGTCATGACCAGCAAAAGGGTCATGGCCCCATGTTTGAAGGTCATGGTTTGCCTGGATCTGGCCTGGATCCTCAAACTACACTTAGAAGGATTTCACACCACAATATTCGGGCAATAACTAATTTCTAAGGGTATTTTGAGAGCCCAGCCAAAACTGGGATTTGTGTGTTGGATGGCGGGGGGTTTGTCTGTAAACCGGGTCTCAGCAGAGGAAATGACCCAAGTAAAACATTACTTTGTTTAAGAGGACTCCACAAATCCCGAATCATTCCCTACCTTTGCACTTGTCTCAAAATACAATTTTGTGGTTGGTTTTCAAGGGAAATCAAAGGGAACATGCAACAAACACAATGTTGGGGCTTCCCCTAGTTTGGGGACAAACCAATATCTTGACACCAGCGACGCCCAGTGGGTTTCTTCTGCTTCCGGTATCTCCCCGCCTTTGGCCTCGGCGGCAGGCCGGATGGCCCGCAGAAGGCCAAAAGGCCCCCCAGCGCAGCGGCCGCAAAAGCCCAAAGACGACGGCCCATGGCTCCGCTAAGACTCGGTCCCCCAGCTAGGTGCTCTTTTGCCTTTTTTTTGGGGAGGGCTCCCGTACTAAAATGGACTACAGAAAAAAGTAAAAAACCTCTCTACTGGAGGACCTGGAAGAGTAGAAGGCTGGGAAAACAAGTTAAAACATGTTGAAGCCGACACTGAATCCAATTTCGCCCTACGCGGCGCTGAATCATCTTCAACGGGACTGGCCTCTACCGCAAGCCGATTGGCCCACGCCTGAGTGGATTGCTCAGACCATTCACCAGATCTGCCCAAAGTCTGAAGCTCACTTCCTGGGGTGGGTTGGCAACAAACTGTCCGAACTTTGGCATTTAGCGCCAAAACGGGTCTTCTCAAGAAGCGCAGCAAGTTCAGGAACTCAGGGAGTGAAGTCCCAACCGCGAAGTGAACCTAACTAATCAACCCCAATCCATGGGGGGGCAAGGAGTGAAGCAAGTGGTTCAAGCCAGGTAAGCATCGTGTTGCTACTCGCAGGCTGGAGCACGGCACATGAAATGCGCCATCCTTCACGACTGAAACTTGCCAGAATCCCGCGCGTCGCAAGGGGGCTACTCAGAGCAGCTACTGACCTGAGCGGACTCGTCAGAATCAGTGTAAGATGTTTGGGGCCTTTTGCTTTCAAGCATACCCTGATTCCATGGTTCCCCCCCAATTCACGTTCTTCAGTTGGCCTACAGGGTGTACCAAAACGATCATGTCAATGTTCAGATTCTGCTTCATAGCCCACAACTAGGTCCTCCAGTACAGAGGTTAGAATCTATTTTAGTAGTGGAACCCTCCCGGCCAAAAAAGGGGTGAGAAAGGGCACCTAGCTGGGGGACCTAGCTAAAATACAACACTCAGCTGCCCAATGGACCCATGAACCAAAGATGAGACTCTGGTCCATGCCACGCCCCCCCCCTCCCCCCCCTCTCCCCCACCTGGTTCTTGCTTCGTCGTCGCTTGGGCGCACCCGGGCGTGAGGTCCTTAACGCATTTCGTCGGTATGGATGCGGCGAACCTGTGGACCCACCCCTACCGAGGGTACTAAAGGTGGAATCCGCAAAATGCGCATCCAAACCGTTTTCTAAAGCAATCTAAAACACAAGGTCCTCCAGTAGAGAGCTTAGAAGAAGGGTACCTTTTTTTTTCTGTAGTCTATTTTGGTAGGGGAACCCTCCCCGAAAAAAGGGCAAGAGGGCACTACTGGGGGACCTAGAACAATTGGGGGAAAGCGGATGGGCAGATGGCTTGAATTCAAGGTCTTCTCAGTTGCCCAAAGGACCCAGAACTAAAAGGTGATCACCTTTTGGCACCTCTACTAAAAATGGGAACCCAAAATGGGAAAACCAAAAGGTCAGATCCGGTCGATTCGCTTTGGACAACTGAGTCTTAGGTACGTCACCACAAACCAAAAATCCCGTGCTAGCCCTAAGGAACTGAGGAACATTCATCGAGAGGCCCAGCATATGTCGGCCCCCCGGGCCGCGGTACCAAATACCAAAATGGAGGTTTGTCTTTGTTGGTAGACCCACGCAAATGGCGATGTTTCCTTTGGTTTCCCAATCAAAAACAGATTCCTCCGTTTCTCTTGTTGCAACCTCCAAAAGTGGCAGTTTCAATGAAACCACCAGTAAATCCATCAACTTTTAATTCGGGGAAATCCAGCGACCCCTGTTTAGAGAAAAACCAAAGGAAACACAACTATTTAGATAGGTCTACCCAAAACGAACGCCCCCCCCCCCCCCGTTTTGCGTGGTTCCCCTTAAAACTGCAATTTTTGGAGGTTCCCTTCAAGCATCCGGGGGAAAACCCTCTTCAAACCAAACCACCAAGTTGATCAACTGTTGATTTGGGGAAATGGGGCATCAAGCCCATCTAAACCAGTCGATTTTGGAACCCATCGATTTTCAGGGTTCCAAACTCACTGAAGAGGACACCTGCGCACCCAGCTCCCATCAAAAACACCTGCCACTTCTGGAGCTTCCATCTTAGGGAGCTGGGGCCGGGGAAAAAAAACCGGGGAAGCCCGGCTTAAACCCAGCCAGCAGCTCAGGTGTCGAATTTAGGTTGGAAATATATGGGTTTCCCTGGTAGATGACTCTGAACCACCAGGTACGAAACCCATCTCTTTTTCCACCAAAACCACCAAGAAGGACACCTACTGTGGATGGACAGAATCCATTTCGCACCGCTTTGACGCCATGGTTCAAACCATTATTCGTTGGTATTTACGTTTGGGAATCATCAGAATCCAGGGTTCCAATTCGGTGGTGCCTTGGATGGATTTCGTCTACCCGCAGTATGGATGCGTTTTGGCTGGCACTTGCGGACTGGCCCTTCCCCGTGGCGGATCCTATGAGCAATGGACGAAATCCTGGACCATTTTGACCATGTCGCCCTTCTAATAAAAAAAAGAGGTATTTACCATGGAAAACCGATCGGTTTTCGCAAAAATACCCCAGAAAAAGTGGGTATTTGGAGTAGGGGGTAGGGGACCTCTCGGCCGAGCAGCGCGGTGGAGGCGGTCGAGGCCATGGACACCACGCTGAGCTCCGAGGACTGCACGCTGATCTCTGAGTCCAGGCCCCCGGGGCCTGGAGCTGAACGGACCGAACCGACAGCCCTACCATACTGATGGACCGAATCCTCTTCTTACCCCTTAAAACTCCAAGCCCTGGGGAAGTTAATCTTGTACAGACATATAGCCCATGTTACCCAAAAAAATGAAAAGTTGTGTTTTTAAGAGGTAAGTCTTAGGCACCACCTAGAAAAACCTGGTTTATGATGAGATTCCCGGGTAAATGCCAACAAACAATGGTTTCAACCATGGTTGCAAAGTGGTGCGAAATGGATTTCGTCCATCCACAGCAAGTGTCCAATTTAGGTTGGAAATAGAATAAGTTGGTACCAACCTCTTGCGGTTTTGTCTATTTTAGTAGGGGAACCCTCCCCCCAAAAAGGCTACTAGGTACTGTTTTTTTAGGTTGGAAGTAGATGGGTTTCCCTGGTAGATGACTCTGAACCACCAGGTAAAAGCGGAATCGCCATCTATTTTTCGACGGCACCCATGCCTGGTACGTCTGGGGTGGGGTGGGGTGTTCCAAGCCTCAAAATTCTAGGGGTTTTACGGACCTCCCCCAAAGCCTGGAGGACCTGGACTCCTGGACCCTCGAAATACCCCTTATCCAAAGACTAAACCCCCGCAGCATTTTTCATTTTGACCCATGCCCAAATGGATCTGGAGACCAACCATCATGATTCCTGATTTTGGGAGTTCAACAATCGGTCGCCCCCAAAATCGGTCCTGGTACCCCAGGCCCTGGTACCCCAGTGGGGTGGGGTGTCCCAAACCTCATAAAATATCTTGGTTGCCCCCAAAAGCCCTTTTCTGGCCTGGACCCTTCCAAGGGTATGCACCTGGACCCTCAGATTTTACGGCTGTGAAAATGGGTTACCTTTTTTTTGTACGAGGACACAAACGGTTATGGACCTGAAGAATCGGTGGCCCCCCAAATTTCTAGTAGCCGTGGGGTGGGGTGGGAAGTGGGGAAGAACTTGTGTTTTTGAGGGCACAAATGCGTATAGAAACCAACCATCACCAGTTTGGGGGTTCAGGTAGGTAACCAGCATCATTTTGGGAGTTGTGGAATTGGTTGCCCCCAGAATTATGAGGACATAAATGGTTGCCCGCAAATGTGTGGTGGCTTGTGATTTGGGCGTGTTATTTTTTGACTTGGAGTTCCGACTCAGTTCTCTAAAACCGACCTTTTCACCTTTCGGTTGTCCGATTTTGGTCCATGTTTGGTGATAGCCCCAAAAGGCGAACCTTGTATTGCCAGGTCTTGTGGGCAACCGAGCCAAAGTGACCATAGACTAATGACTGTGGGCTTGTCTCAAAAAAGCCCCTGACAGTATATGGCCGCCAAGCCGGAAACGTGAGTAAAGTTCTAGCTCAAAAATCACTTAAGATTGGGTTATCGCAACCCAAAACTATGTTGTGGCGGTCCCCTTTTTATGATGGTGGATGTCCTATGGCGGACCTTCCGAAATTCTTGACTTGGGGGGTTGACTCCCCCCTCTCCAAATATCCACCACTTTGTTCTGGGTATGCCGACTCTTTACGTGGAAGACCAGGTTGTGTTTTGCAAAATCTACCCTTCAAACAGGTGTCCTTTTCTTGTGGAGTCCCGGCCAGGAGTTCCAAGGCTCCCCCTCAAAAAGCCGAGGGACCCTAAAGCAAGCAAGGGGCTCTCAACTACCCACCCCCCTTGCACCCCCTGGGTCAGATGCCATACGCTTGGTTTTCCTCGAAACCAACCCACAAAAGGGTACCACACACACAACAAAAAAAACTGGCGAACAGCGCAGGGGCTGGAAACAAAGCCCAAAACTATTACGCATCTCCTCTTGCCGTCCCCGGGACAATGAAACCATATTGCCGAATCAAAATGTACAACAAGCAACTTTGTTCTTTTACAATCCCCTCACAGGCCACTCTCAGACACGGGGCGAGACAGGGCCGCGCGCTGGGGGACCTGGACTCTGAACAAGCACACTTTCTGTGGTCTCAACTGCACCTCGTGCATTTTCTCCAGCCTTCTCTGTCCCCCCCAAAAAAAAATCCCAAGGATACAGTGTCTGTCCCTCCCGCCAAAAAAAACACACACACACACACACAAAAAAAAAAAAAACACAACAACAACTTCTGTCTCTTGGCCCCTGCCCGGGCAGAATCCCAAACTCTAACTCTGCCGTGGCACTGCGCGCCGGCCTGCGGATGAAGCTCGGTGCTACACATACACATGTACATAACTAAATGAATAGATAAATAAACACATACCCATTGAACAAACATGTTGGTCTTCGTTTTGGTCTCCCTTAGAACCATCCAAAACGGGGTACCAACTCAAAACCATGACACACACAAGTTGGCTTCTCCGCAGGGAGAGCCGTGCAGGGCCCCTCTCCATGCCAGTGCTTTTGTTGGTTG